GACTTTCAACTCCCTCCAAAAGTTTTCTATGGGGTTGAGATCTGGAGACTGGCTAGGCCACTCCAGGACCTTGAAATGCTTCTTACGAAGCCACTCCTTCGTTGCCCAGGCAGTGTGTTTGGGATCACTGTCCTGCTGAAAGACCCAGCCACATTTCATCTTCAATGCCCTTGCTGATGGAAGGAGATTTGCACTCAAAATCTCACGATACAATGCCCTATTCAGTCTTCGAAGTGAGGCATGGGAGGAGTCACACATGAGTATTAACACAGCCCTTTTGCCCTGGAGACTACGGTAAATCTTGAGGCCACACCTCCATTCCTCCTCTGACTTCCCAGATTAACCTCAGTCTCCTAATGTTTGTTGGACGATAGATATGAAGTGTCCAAATGGTGATCGCATGGGAGCACTGCAACAGTTATAAATGCAAGGAATGGATGTAATGTTATTTTTCCAGCAAAACTAAAATATAATTTTTGTTTTCTTAACATCACCTACCTGGCACTTTCCAATAGTTCGTCTTTCTTGTATTCACCTGAAAATTAACACAGCAATCTTAAGATTTTCTAAGTCATGTACGTTTTTTTTTTAAAGAATTATTTTCCTTTCTAATAGGAATGGGCCCAATATTCTAACTTCAAAATAGTACTAGAGGGGTATTTTATTCCATGGATGTTAGAATGGTTTAACACACTGCAAATAGATTTGTTATTTTTTAAATCCTCCTGCAATGGAGACACAGCCTGTACACAGCTAATAAAACAGCAAGTACAGCTTCCATCCCTGCGAACCACTGAGTGGAGATAACGAAGAAAGATTGGGCAAAGGACATCCAACTAAGCACATGCTCCAAGTAAATTAGAGTTACCTTATCAAGGAGATGAGCATTATATAAATTTAATAATACATAAAATAAATAAAAAAATAAACTGAAGATTGCTTGAAGATATCAAGACCTGCTTGATATCATTTTATTAAGTATGTTATATTGCATAAAACAATTTGTGGCTGTTAATACACATAGGCTATGTCTGCGTGTGTTTATCTGACTGTGTATAAAACTTTTGTTATGATTGTTTACTATAATTTCTACAGTGTGAGAAAAAATTAAAAATCATGTTCACAGCCAATTTTTCTGTAAGGTGGGTTTTAGCTAACACTCAGAATTATTTAGTATATAACTTATTTTTCATCACTAGGAGCCCCTCCTAATAGGGAATAAGAGGTTGTTCCAAATTTCTAAACAAACAAAACGAAAATAGGATTCCAAAATGTTATATATGTTTTTGTTCCTTTCAAATATGCAACAGTGAAGGCATCTCAAGTCACATTTCAGCTTCAGCACAGAACTGAAATAGTGTAATGAAACAACTGACTTGTTAAATGCAATTTCATGCAGATCCATATGATTTCATGACACTGCGACTGTCATGCGTCAGTTGCCAAGCATCTGAATTTTGATCATGTGACCATGGGGATGCTGCAATGGTTGTGTGAAAAATGTCATGTCACTTTTTTCAGTGTTGTTGTAATTTTGAACGGTCACTAAATGAATTGTTCGAGGACTAAAGGCAAAGAGGAAGCCCGTGAGTCACACCTTAGCCATGAAAGCCAACTGGTGACTTTAAGCTAGTAACTCTCTCTCAGTCCAACAGGATTCTTGTGGGGAAAATAGCAAAGGAAGATGTGTTGGATATGTTCACTGCCTTGAGCTATTTATAAAAATAATAAAGGCAGGACATAAACAAATTACAATTTCATTTGGAATTTAAAAAATTCTCAATTTTTAAATAACAAAACGGTATACCAAAACCCATATATTTTCTTTAGATTCCATACACAGGAAGCAGACCTGCCTTGTGGAATGATATTCCCCAAATAGGTTCATATGCTCTTCCCAGGACTTTTTAAAAAGTTTGCTCTTTCCTCCTAGTATGGGTGACAGAGTCTTTGGGAGAAAGACTACTTTGTGAAAATTCTATATTACTTTTCCAGACATGTGATATGTGTATTGTTTTATTTTGAAGTGGATACTGATGTTTGTTCAGAATCATGATGGAAGCATTATTCTTTAATAAATAAATTTAATAAATAATATTAATAACTGTTCTGACCCCCCTTCTTCGCTCGTTCACAGACAACAGTCAGACAGACATAAAAGGAAATAACTTTATCAGTCCTGGCTCACGCTGGCTGCTAGCCCAAAAATAAACATAAATAAAGTCTCTGGCAAAAAAAGTTACGCAGCAGAATGCAAAAACAAAGAGCTCTTACAGCAACACCAGGTTTACAGAAAGAAAGCAAATCACTTATCCAAGTGTCTCTTCGAATTAGGGTTACAGAAAGCAAATCACTTATCCAAGTGCCTCTCACAAACAAACCATAACCAATGAACGATGAACCACGAACGAACGAGTGAACGTTGACTCCTGCAACCAGGGCGTGGCACCATCAGTCCTCTTATCTCCAGAAGATGACACTAACGACCCCCAGCTGCA